CCCCCCCCCCCCCCCCCCCCCCCCCCCAAGATCACAGCCAACTCACATCCCCTCCCATTTACAAATACTTCGCTTGACTAAAAAATTACGCCCAACCCACAGTACACTCATCAAGTACATTCTGACAATCGTTGCAGTACCCAATTCTACCGAATTATATTTCAAACCTTACCAACGCAACTACTGCAGCTCAATTCTACCACTCCAAACGCTTATTCGAATATTTCATCTCTGAATTTTCTATCATGGAAGCTTACTATTTTTTATTTCATCGAATAACAATATATTTTCATGAAATAAGAGTTTAAACAGATAATAGATGTCTTCTTTCATAATATACGAAATATCTGATATATATACTAAAAATAATTCGAATTGGTAAATTATGACCAAAAATTTAAAGCACCATCGAATAGTTGTCAAAGAATACAATTATTAATTACAACAACAAAAAAAAAAACACATATATATATTATTTGCCTTCACTATTATACTTTACAAATATTTTCTAGAAAATTCTATAGAAAATTCATAACTAATTGATTATAAAAAATATTTATCACTTATAACAGAAAAAGCTTTAATGCCATAGTGATAATGATATTGATAACCTTTACAAAAGGCAAATATTTATAAAAAATTTAGTCGATTCAACGAAAACTTCAAATAAATTAAAGCATAACCTAATATCTACTCAAATAAAATATCCTATTCGACCGGTATAGCAGTGAAAATACTAAAATCAGTTTTTAACTTAATAGTTGGTTGACTAGCCAAATTTTGAACTGGCTGTTCTGAATTAGTTGCAGCAATTCGATTTCGTTGAGTACTTGCCGTTCGTGTCGCTTGATACCGTAACGCTTTTCCCATTCTAAGTTGTAATCAAAATAAATAAGTTGCAAAAAATGATTAAATTAATATTAATATTTTCCACTTTTCAGCATCGATCATATACTTACGTTGATTTAAATATATATACGTATATATTAAAAAAAATACTTAAAAAAGCGTACTTAGTCTTTACCGCTGGGAAAGTGTTCAAAACTTTCTTGAAGGCTTCAAGATGTGAAGGCCCAATAGCACATAACCTAGATAAAGCAAAGTCATGCATTATTCGCGTTTCCACTTTAATTTCGCGATATTGTGATTGTGGATCGTCACATAAAAATAAACCGAGTAACTGCACCAGCATATTGACGATTTTAAGCTCTGAAATAAATTGCTTCATTTTCGTTCCTTTTTTTGCAAATAATTTTATAATTCAGCGAAAATCTCGTTTAATAGATTTCCAAATAAAAATATTTAAAAATGAAATTATTCGCAAAGTAATGCTCTGCAGTTTAGAAAAACCAGTGAGAAAAAAATTTTCAGTCTTTAAATGAACTGCCATGTATTAGAATATTTGAATAAAACAAACTCGATATTTAAATTTAAAAATAACCTTCACAATGACGAGCGACAGAAAGTGTGACTTCAAGCGCGCGAATAGCTTCCTGAATGAGAATAACATCGACTTCATTCATTTCTCTCTTTTCATTGATGACAGGCAAAAGAGGCCAAATCCTCTTAAGAATATGTGGCGCCAGTTCCTTGATAAAAACATAGCATATTTCACGTCGAGCAAATATAGAAGACAAACTCTGAAGACACTTTACAGCAACCTAAACTAGGAAACAATTTAACGATAAAATTGGAATTAACTCAATATTTATTAATACAAATAAAACCACAATAAATTTGCAGATTTATGAATTAAATGACCTTAAGTTATAATATTTTCAACGGTTCCATTCATAACTAAAGTAAACAAAAGTAAACGATTTGCGCTTATTATTTCTGGTTAAGCACCTTGCATAATTGGCAATTTTTCCTGCAAGGAGTTGCCTAAGCATGGAAATGTAGATGGACCTCAGCACCCTCTGGATTTTTTAGTGAACGATTTATACTTGTTGTAAGCAGGACCTTTAATAAAAGACGAACAACTGCTTAACAAAAAAATTTATCTACATGCTCTTCTAATTTAACCACTTTAGCAACGGTTCACTACAATCATTTTAGGAAATGGAATCGATAATTTGAATTTTTGTAGATATTTTCAAAAATATGCTAAAAAATCACGAATAACCAGTCGAAATTTATAAGCATAAAGAAGCATGTTGATTACGGAACTTAAATATAAAATAATTTCAAAAACCTGAGAACATTCACTATCTAAACATCGTTCAAACAATTTGCAAATATTCAAGAAAATTTCTTGATCCCCCAGGACGATCTTCCGAGCAGCTGATGTGATAAAAACAGCAGTCGCAACCATAATTACTGCTTGATCGATTTTTGAATCTAAACAATATAATTGGGCTAACATTTGCTGAATAGGAATTAAAAGATCAGTATTTGAAAAATGATTAGAAATCAGAAGATACTATAAAAATAAAAGGTAAAAAAATGTAAACCTGATGCCATATTTAAAAGCGAGACCAAAGTACTTTTCATTAATAGTACCCACTGATCAACCTCATCAGTTGGTTGCGTTGAAACGAGGCTTCGTAAAGCCTAAAAAATAAAATTTACAAAAACGACAAATAAAGAATTCGGCTCATAATAATTTACATAAAATTTACTTGCATAGCGAAAGCAGCCGCAATAGAAACATGACCTAAGGGCGAATCAGGAACCAATTGCTCCTAGAAGCAAAAAAAAAATTATTCACTGATCGAAAATCTTGAAAACAACATTTATCTTTAAAGTATCCTTTTTTTTAACTTCATTTTTACGACAATTCTATCAATTTTTTCATTCAAAAAGAATTTTTTTTGAGCAAACTGCACAGTGGACTTTCCTTAGCCTAATTTGTTATAAACTGTAAAACCAAAAATCTGAAAAAAACATTCTTAAATACATAAAAGGCTAACCGTATCTAGAAGAGAGGATTCTCGAAGTATACCTAATAAAAGATATAATATACTGGGCAACACTGTTAAAAGGCCTTCGGGAGAACATAATGCAGGAATACGCATTAGAATTGAAATACCAAGCTAGAAATGATTAAAATTTCAGCTTTGGATCAAATCAGTGGGAAAATTTCATACCTAAGAGATAATGCAGATCCTTGACAATAAATCTTTCCTACATAAATTTTTGTATGCCAATAATAAATTGTTTAGAAATGCTTATTATCCTTACGAAACATTCCACCCAATACTGGCCATTTTCAATTCAGGCATCATCATCAATTAGCTAATGTTATATATATATATATATGTTATAACTGTATAAACCTTGATAAGGCTATTGGATTCTGCAGGCAATCTCGAGTATTTGCGAAAATGTAAAGGCGCTGTTAATTTATTCTTCGTAACTGACCGATTAATTTGTGGCAGCTGAAAAAAAGAAAAGTGAAGAAGTGCCATTTTATTTGCCATTCTTACTGGACCATTAATTAAGAATCATTTCAAACCATGGTAAATTTACCTTTTAAAAACTATGACAAATTACCTGGCCAATTTTACTAAAATACTGCGTAAAGACCAACCTGTCTAATAAGAATGCATAATGATACTTCCAGCGTGGCGAAAGCCAGTGAACAACCAGGTTTCAAATTCTCATTTCCTTCATCGCCACTATAAACATTTTCCAAATCGTAATTTATATTACCATTTTCCATATCTTAAAAATATGTTCTTAGGTCAAATTTATAAAAATACACAAAACTACATGATGAAAAATTCATCAATAATAAAAGAAAGATAGAATTCCAAGTGCAAATATATATGAATGAGCTTCACCTTTATTTCGAAAACTCGATATAGAAAACTGAGCAGCATCCAATATAGTCAGCACTACTTCACCACAAAGATGTTGTGTATGAAGATTGTCACGAGTTAAAATAATCCTGAAACAAAATATTAACTACGTAAAGAATCAATGTGAAGTAGAAAAAAATTCACAGGTATAAAAGTAAATATGGAATTATACCTAATAATTAAAATAGACTGGCGGAATTTTTAGCAAGGTTAAAACTTTTAATATAAAAGACTATTTTATTTAGTGAGAAAATTCAAGCAAACATTAATTAAATTATCTTAACATACAGCTCTGAAGCTTTAAATCACCTATATAGAACGTTCAATAATTCGATTGGCACTTGTGCATTGCTCATCAATTGGATTCGAGCCCAGTCACTTTTCAACAGACAATTCAAGGAACGAAGACACAGCTGAAAGAAAACACTAAGAAGTGGGTTATGACTCTGAAAGTTGACTGTTTATCAACAATAAAATTTGTTCAACTAATAATAAAAATTGAAAAATCCAATGTGAATTCCTGAATACCTGAACAGTTTGATCACCTTCCGAATAACACCGATTCGAGCACAACGTCTCGATACAAATTCCGAGCATAACATAAAAATGTACTTGTTTACAGGCATCATCTGCCACGATACCGCTCTAAATTTCAAAAATTTTAATAGAAAATCACTTAAAATCTAAATTATGAACTGATGACATAAAAAACTACAGATACATCAGAATTTGAAATTGAATTCGTAGAGATGTCAAAATTGTTTTGCTGAAGCCATGTAGCAGCAGCCAGAAGAATCGGGGGCCAACTTGAACGATAATACTCCTTACAACACTAAAATGATATCAGAATCAAGGTCTAATAATAACACAATAAAAATGTTCAATATTTAAAAAAAGCAAGCCAGAATAAGATGTTAAATTTAAAATGAAAATCATATAAAGAAGAAAAAAGAAAACCAACGTCTGCACTTTCAGATGTATAATATGTACCACCTTCAGAAGGCAACTGTGAAGAAAATTCGGGTGGCAATGACAGTAAAGCAGAATCACGCAACGCAGCTAACCAATACTGTACTAATGAGCCAAGTTCTGATGCAACCAAACTAAGAAGACTTTCCGAAGAACAATGAGATTCATCCGAATCTGCAACCAACAATAAGCATTGATATTCCACCAAATAAAAGGAAAATTTTTTCAACCCAAATGACATGAATGAGTTCCGAAAAATCATTTTAAAAAAAGCCGTATCGATTAATTTGGGTTAATTTAAATTTTAAACACTGTTAAGCTTTAAAAAAATGAATTATAATATCAGCTAATTATTCAATTAACAGAAATAAAGCATACCAGACAGAAATAAAATATCAATATTCCTAATAAACTAACTGAAATAACTTACACTTCTTTTCTTGTTCAACGGCTACGATATAAACTTCAGCCCAAGCTTTAAGAATTGCCAGCTTTTCCAATGTCGATGCACTTTCGCTGTACAACTGCGCATTGAGTGATTCGTGAGTTAATTTGCTCAAGGATGAAACCAAGAGCTTAAAAAAAAATAAATGAAAGATTAATCTAATGAATGAAAGATTAATTATTTGATTGAAATAAGATTATTAAAGAAAGACTATTTAATGAAGAATTCCTAGGTCATGTTAAGATGAACAGAACCGAATAAGATTTTATTAAATTCTAATTCTAATTCTAATAATGAATCCAAATTAAACGAAAAAAAGAGTTTAGCAATATAAAAATCATTAGAATCTGAATTTAAATGGAACGAAAAAATCGAGTATTAATTGACTTACAAATTCTTGGAACAGAAAGGAAGAGAACAAGAGATTGCACCACATTTAAAAAAGGTTGAGAGGTTTTTTATAAATTAATAAGAAAAGCTGCGGATATATCTTTAAAGATTCTGAACAGTATTTGTAAATTTTAAATAATTTTTCGACTACAATTCTACTATGGTGATCAAATTAATTATCCATTATTAAGTCAAGATCTGAAACATTATTAATGCTTATTACTTCAATATTATCAATTAAATTTGGGCAAATTATGAAGATTTCAAGTAAATATGGATTAACGTATTTTTACTTGGTGCACGCGCCTTAAATCATTCAGATCACGAGCTACACCACTGCCTATCCACGTACTACAAACTTGGCAAGCGGCTGCAGTAACATCACTCGGTGTTTCACTGGCGAATGCAGGACGCAATGCTGCTCCAACCTTTAAGGCTTAATAAAATTAAAGAAAAACAAACTTTTTCTAAAAACTTTCCAATTATTTAACCCAGAATGCTTACAAACTAAAAATATATAAGAAGAAAAAAAGAATCCTCTATTTTGACGTTTGATTTAGAAAAATAAAAACCAAACATTTCTATATCATATCCTATATCCTATGACTATTTTTTATTTAAAAAGCTATAAACTACAAAAAAATGTGCACCTGAGCTTGAAACTGTTCCAAGATAACATGACCTGGGAATTCCGGTTCTGGTACAGATGAAAATCTATTGATAACATCTTGAAGACACGAAAGACCAATGAGACGAAGGTTGGTATTGTCACTTGTGGCACCAATGAAAGACATACGGACTAAATCAGAAAGGTGAAGAACTAAGTAATCTGCACGACCTCCGGAAGAAATCTGAAAATAAAAATAAAATAAAAATACTTTTAATTCAACCTTGCTGCGAAAAGGTAACCAAATGTTTGCTCAGGAATAATTTATGCAAACAATGGCAGCATTACCTGCAATTCCTTGGCAAGAGCGAGATCGAGATGAGCACGCTCAGTATCACATATGTACATCAATCGCTGAACAATTTCAGTAGCAAAAACCCTAGTTGGCCATCTAGGCATCACTTTCACCTTATCTTCCCGATCCATAGTAATTGCTGACTGTAAAGTAGCATCATCATCAACGTACTGAAAAAGACCATTTCATTATAAAATAAAAAAACTAAAGAAATGAACATTTAACATTCTTTTCAACACCTTTTCTATGCTTCTTTTTTCTTCCTTATTCTTTCACCTCCTCTCGAATTTAAAACTGCATTAAAACCATAAAAACTTAGACCATCAGAGAATTCAGAACAAAACCTCTCGATCATCGTCGTCGTCACCAAGATTCCCTGCGCATTTATCTTCCGTAAGAATTGTATTTCTCATATCAGCACCCATACTAGATGCCAGAATATCTTTGCATATCGAAAGCCAATAACTCAGCAAATCTCCGCCTGTTGCTTGCACTAGCGATATTAATGTTTCCTAATAAACAACTGAATGCTAAAGGCAAAAATGAATCCAGTAAAAAAATAATCAAGAATTATATGAAGCTAATATCGTGAAATCAATTAAGTGCCTGATAAGGCTTACCTTTATATCCTGTCGGAGAGCTTTGTCAGTTTCCGTATCTAGCATACTAAAAAGAAGCCCTTCCAATCCCGTTTCTGGTAAAACTGCATTAAGATAAGTATTGCAAGTGCTTTGCATTAAACCTTGTGGCACAAGACCTTGGGCATGTTCACGCACTTCTTTAGCTTCTCTTTGTACGAGCTGCCTTAGACAACATACGGATGCTTTTCGTAAAATCAGGTGCGAACTTGATAAAAAAATCTGTATCAAATAAAATATAAGTACAAGAATAATGCAACATAAATAGATTGTGAATAATGAAATCCTCATCTACTCACACTGGAAACATTATGGAAAAATTGTAGTGTGAAAGATAATGACTTACACATAAACTTTTCACGAGTCTATCAAGATGAACACATCTCGGTGCAAATAAATGAAGTTGCTGCAAACATTGTATAGCTTCCGCTTGAACTACTGGATCCGAATGATCAAGCATTATCGAACTCGCTTAATTTTTATTAAATTGACAAAAATAATGAACGATTATGAAAGATCATTTGATTCAAAATGATATGAAAAGAATAAAAAACCTATTAAAAATGATGCCCTCGTTCCCTCAATAATTCCAACAGACTGCAGCTCAGGACCAACTACGGTTATCAGTGCAGTAATCTAAAAATCACTGCCAGTTGTAAACTCACTTATTTTTAATGCAAAATTTCCTAAAATTCCTGAAAAGATATGTAAAAGTAAACGGATAGACATGCGCCAAACAATGAACATACAATAAATTTTAAAAAAATCACTTTCATTATTTTCTTTCCTTAATATCTAAATATATGGCGCAAAAATAAAATATATGAAAACCATCTCATTTGCATAACCATCATTCAAAAAACAAGATAATGATCAATTTGGAAGAGATATTATACAAAGAAATTATTGCTTTTTCAATGAAAAAAACATGCAAAAAAAATCCTACCAGTTTTCCAACTGAACGAATGATATCAATGTTTGTTACAGAAGTGCTTAGTAGTAAGGTCAAACAAAAACTAAGGCTGGGCTCTACGTATCCGCGAAACATTCCACCACCCGTATCAGCAATTAAACTTAAAGCAAAGACTGACCACGTCTTAAAATTAATTAAGATTAATATAAATCAAAATTTAAACAACTTTACAGGATTGGAACCTTAATTATCGAATGCACATTCAATGAGTATGACAGAAAGTAACAGTAATGGCCTCACATATCTTCCACAGAAAATATGCAAAATTTCTGAAGAGAGACTAAAAATTTCATACTGACAATACCAAAAAAAAAATAGCAGAACCTGTACAACAGCAGATGATCCATCTTGAGCCAATGCTAACAAAATAGATACGCTTGTATTCAAATGCTGCCCACTTCCGAGGGACCCAACATGACGATGCAAGCATCCCAAAGTTAAAGAAAAGCCAGTGCGATTTGTAGCATCTCTGCAGGATTTTAATTTGTCAAAACTGTACTGCGCCATTCCTGCCACAAACTAAAACGAACTCGACATTTATTACTGCTTATTTCACTATAAAAATTCTATTAAATTTGAAAAATTCATGTATAATTTGCTATCGTTAATCACCAATTTACCTTTCGTTATCTTCAAAAAAGATATTTCTTCTAAAAGATCGATTCTGGACCATTTTTTCTAATTTTTGAGCCAGGCTTATCTATAAAAAACCTTCAGCTTAACTTTCTTAACCTCCATAATCTTTAATTAAAGCTGACCTGAGCATCACCTACAGCTTGTGCTAATCGACCAAGTGTTTCCGCTGCTGCACACCTAAAAAAATGCACATAAAAAAAATCATTGTTTTTTGCAAATCTTAACTCAGAAGATTCCATCGTAACATAAAAATCTGTTGTCCTGAAATTTTTTTATTATCATTAAAATAAACGTAAAATTTTTTTCAAAGAATAAGAAAAAAATCAAAACATGGAAAACTACCTAAAAAGAGGATCTGAATGCGAAAGAAGAGGAATAATGATATTGACATTCGCTTTTTGCAAAGATTCTCCCTCAATACGCAATCCCTTCAATTCACTTAAGGTTTTGAATGCTAGGATAAGGCATCCAAAAATATTTTTTAAAATCTGAAAAAAATTATAAGAATTAAATCTGGAAATTTTCATTTTCTGGAAATTTCATATCTCTTTCTTTAAGTCAGTGGTTATAAAAAACTGGAAAAAAAATTTAATTTCATAAAAAGACTACTGCATGCCGACGTTGAGTATTTTTTGTTGATTTGATACATTCTGCAAAATGATCTGCCATTTGTAATTTGTGTCTAGGTGGCACTAATGGATAAGTACGGCCATAGACAGTAACTGCTGAATCAATAACGCTAACTGCGTTCGGTAAGGGTTCAGGCCAATAAAGCTCTTCTTCCATCAAACATCTGTAGAAAATAAATTTATAAAATATTTGATAAAACATAATGAAGCATAAATTTTCTCAAAAATTATTGACATATTGAAATTAATCGACAAATACAGACCAAAATAAAAGCAATGAACCTACGTTACTAGGCAAAGAGGATCGTTTTCGATAGATCCACACACACCATTCTGCGATAAATTGAGCTGTAATACGCATTTTTATTTGCAGATCAATTCAATATCACAAAATAATGTGATAATAAGAATATAAGAATAAGAACATAAAAAGAAAGAAGTTCAATGCAATATAATCACCATGATACAACCAACAAAGGCCATGTAATACTATTCACGCAAAACTGCATTGATTTCCAGCATCAATTTATATGAAAAAAAAAAAACTTCATATTCGATAGATGCTTGATCAGTGTCTTTGATCCATGCTCCCAAAAGCGACTGATCTATTCCAGGAAAAAGGCTGGTTAACAGCGAAGTTGAATAATTCGACTGAGCATTATCCGACAGCGTGATGTCTGCCACAAGTTCACGAAGAAGATGGGAACATAAATCTAAAAGCAAAATTCAATGTACCTTGATTAAACAGAATATACATATATATATATATATATGCGCTTTAATTCGATAAATGAACTAAAAACTGATAGATAAAAAAAACTTACGTTCATAACATTTTGGTGAGATACAATTTGCTACAGCATAAATACGAATACGTAACAAAGCCATTTTTCCACGCATTTTTTGCCCAAACATTCTTATTAAAGCTGGAAGACTGAAAAAAGGAAATTTTAAACATACATATGCATTACTTCTAGCATTTCGTAATATTTTCAAGCATCTCGTAATATTTTCTAATTTGTTTCCAATGCAGAATACTTTATCAAAATTCAAAAAATTACTGCGAAACGGTAACAAGAGAGCATTCAACTGAATGGACAATTTTGCGAATAATATCATCAGACATCAAGGATGAACTATGTTCGGCTAGAACTGCCATTGAAGCGAGTGCTCCAGCACGTGCATCAAGAGTACATCCCCATGTAAATGCATCACCACGACCTTTTTCAGCTTCAGCCTCTTTAACTGATCTAGGAAATGTACTTTTCCACAGTAAAAACAATCTTTGTAAGCAGCCTTGAGCAGCTGTACGACCTGAATTACAATATATCAAAAATGTTAAAAAATATTCATTGATATGCGCTGAAATCATTAACGCTAAAACCAAACCTAACTTAAGAACAGCTGCAATAAGCATCCATCCAGCTTGAATTTTCACTTGAGCAACGCGACTTGACTGGGAAGCTGTTTTGATCAAATCTTCTGCTAACGCAAATACTTGTCTGGAAAATCAATATAAATTTTCCAGATTAAAGAAACAAAGATTTAATTCGATTTTAGAGTCCTCGACTATCAAAGAAAGCCTTACTTCGATTTCCCATGCGGTATACCTAATTTACATTCCACTGATCCAGCAAGCAACGCAGCTAAAGCAAATGAATAACCGCTAATGGCATCACAGCAAGCTTTCATATGTTCAAGCCTGAAAAATTAGAAAGCACAAAACTGATAGCAAATGCTTCTCGATCTCTCTTATATTCTCCATAGTAAATCCAAAATCTTATCCCCTAGAAAAACATTCGTCTATGCACAATTCCAGATTCTTGATGATTTTCACTAACCTGTTGATACAACGATCAATCAATGGTGACAATTGGGATGGAACACTAATTGTAGCACATCGCAAGCACCAAGCTGTCGTCAGACGAGTTGCTAACACTGGATGTAATAAACAAGAAAATATCGGCTCCATTATACCTTTAAAAAAATTCAAGCTCACTCTTAATTTCATTTTTTGATCAGTACAAAATATTATATGTTTATACGAACAAATATACACAAAATAAATAAGAGACCTGAAGCTTCCACAAATAAAGGAGTAATAGTGGTCCCAATCTGGCGGACTAAACAAGAAATTTCAAGCAATGTGATAATAGATGCTTCAGCGCTGGAATAAGCTTCTGCACCAATAACACGTTCTGCACCAGGCTCAACGTTGTAATCTAACAGCAAAAAATTTTAAAATTTCAAATTTTAACACATTTATTTTGATTTCAATAAAATGAATAAAAATGAAAATATAATTATTATTAATTTATATGTAATATCGATAAGAAAAAAAAAATCTTGTTTAATATGACTAAAAAAAAAACTTGTTTTATATTATCCATAGATTTAATCGATCAGAGAAATTAAAAAAGAAGCTAGCAGAAAGAAATAAATTTACCGAAAGAATTGATACTATCAGCTAAAATAATGCCAAGTTGTTTGCAAGCAATAATTTGCACCTGTTCACTAAGCATGAAACCAATTGTGTTGCGCAAAATTCGACTAACACAACATCGCATAAATGCGACCTCCGCAGCTTGCGTTGCATTACTAAATAATTTATTATATAAAGTAATCAAACAATAATTAATTTTCATAGAAGGCTGTCGCCTGCCGTCACTACAAAAAAAATGTAACTGAAATCAGTAAAAAATTTTTTTTTACCTCGTATATGCCAGTGGTCCACATTTAGCAACAAGATCTACGAAATGCTTCAAAGTAAAAGCAATATTTTTCTCTAACCATGATGGCCCTAATTCCTTTATTAGTTCGATGTAAGCCTGAAAATAAAATGATTAATATAATCTTTACTAGAAAATTTAAAATTTAAAATTTTTTTAAAATTTATAATTTAACTAAAATTATGCATGGTTTGCTCGTTAAAAAATAATGGAAATTTCTTTCTCACATTTAAAAAATATTTCATCTTCATCGGTATGTTCCATAATAAACTGAAACAAATTCAAAAAGAACACGAAATCGAAAAAAAAATACCAAAGCTACACCGACGCGTATCTCTCTTTGACCTCCAATGATAGCTGAGGAACTACTTTTTAAAAATCCACCGATACCGCCACGTAAAAATCCAACTGATAAAATACCAAATACTTCGTCTGTCGACATAGTTTTTGAAAGCGAATTCTGCGTATTTGTTGGTGCTTTAGATCCTATTGCTGCAAAAAATATACAACAATATTTTCTCTATTCAAGTTTTCTATAATTAAAAATTGAAGAAAACAGTGAAAATATTTTAAAAACTGGCTGCTAATATAAAAAAACTATATAAACTGTGGAATAACCCAAATAAATAGAAAATAAACCTAAACCAGAAGATTTTGGAGGTTTTAGAACCAAACTAAGAAGCTGTGAAAGAAGATGTGCGATGGCCAATCGGATTTCATAGCTACTTGATTCCATTGCACGAAAGCATAACGTACTAATACTCTCGACTTCATTCATATGCAAGAATGGACATTCACAGACCATCACTGTTAAACACTAAAATAGAAGCAAAATTATAATCATTAAGTCAAAAAAACATGCCTCTATATTTTTTATCAGAGCAGATTTTCTGAATATAAATCTTTAAGATATTATTTTTTAAAAATGTTAATTTTTAACCAGTAATAATTCAAATTTTAAAAAATCCAACATTTATAGCAGCAATTCGAACTGAATCAACACGATCCGTTAAATGAGATTTCACAATTTTATATAAATCTTTATGGATAGATGATGCAACTGCACCAAGTCCTTTAACCATTTTTGAAAAAGTTATTAACAATTCCGCTCGGCCTTGCGACTTAAAATAAATTTTTTTAAAATTTTAAATATCTTTTGAGTGAATCACTGTTATATGTCACATATGATAATGAACGTTCTTCGTAAATTTACCTCAATTTCCTAAACGCCCAAAAAGGGTGAACTTATTATTAAAAAATTCAGCTAATGGACTCATATATCTGCCTCCTGAAAATTTCGAAATGTTCATCCAATGAGGCAAAAAAAAATCGAAGAATATCAAACGATCATTTCAGAGAATAAAATTTCGAGGTTCATATCTTTCAGAAACACCAAATCAACATAACATGTTTTTAGAAGACCGTCGTGTTAAATTCATCATTAGATATGCAATAACAATTAACATTTTCTGCGAAATGATCTCTCAATAATACAGCCTACTTACCTAATCTACCAACTGCACCAACGTCCCCTCACATTTGAACCCAAAATATTGTTAAAATTATAAATATGCGCTACATTATTATTTTTTCGATATTTACACCTCATCACGTTAATCACCATTTATTTAAAAAAAATAACCAAAAGAATTTCACATAGTACCAAAAGCACCTAATCAAACCAATGCATTTAATAGAAATAGTCTATCCATTACAAATTTCCATAAAAATCAAGAAAGTGTGGGACATTTCGACATGTAAATCGGTTTATGTAATTTCCCATCACTGTTGATAATTTAAGCACAGATCGTAATACTTAATATAACTATTAAAAAATCATTGAAAAAATAAGTGAAACAAAAACCAAATAAAATCTTGCAAATAAAAGCAGATCTTGCTTAATTCCACCTTAATAGGAATTGTAAATTCTAGTACTATAAACAACCAGTAAATCTAAAACCTACAAGAAGATAAGATGGCTGAGTGCTGCAGCTTTGATCACAAGCATCACAAATGTTACTATTTCTTGAAGAGAGCGAATTTAACCATTAAAAAAGAAAGTCAAATGAGGCTGATAACCCATCTTTAATTCTATCCACATTTGATTTTCTGACGAGTTTCACCTTAGCAATCATTAGAGCACAAACAACATTAGAAGAAAAGAAATCTAATAATTCTAACACCATGACAAAAACTTGATATAAAGCAATAAAAAATGTGACAAGAGACAAACCTCAGCATTTTTAAGCCATTTTGTCATGTGATGAAATGACTCTTCATAACTTCTACCAACAAGCCTTCCCAAACTTTCGTACATTGCACCAAGACATGTTAGAGCAGCCCTATTTTGAGAACAAAAAAACGTTCATTTTATTACAAATAAACAATATTTTTTTGCATATAGAAAGTGATAATGAATTTCTCAAAACGATTTAAAATTTCCAATAATTATAAGAATATTTTGTGATAAAAAATAAATAAATAATGAAGAAAAACTGAAGCCGTTCGCGGTTTCACCATTTAAGGCAGTATGAACTTTGACATGCATGGCTTAGCCTTTGAGATAAGCATATGATAAATAATGAAGTAAAACTGAACAAATATTATTTCTGATTGAAAAAAAGCGCAAAAAAATAACTTACAATTTAACTGGAAGATGATTTAATGACTCATCACGATTTTTTAACATATCATTACAAAAATTAATAGTCTCGAAAAGATTATAGGTATCACCAATGCAATAAACCTAAAAAATAATTAATAGAAAAAGGTGAGAATAGCCATTAATCCGAGAAATAAACCAATCCTAGATATTATCAATATTTATTATCTATTGTATTATAACAACCTAAGTCTAGTTTATAAGCAGTTGATTGGTACTGTTTGCAAAATTTTTGTATCAGTTATAAAATGAAGTAACAAACAGGAAAATATATAATGCATGTTATGCATACTTTATACATTAAATTCACTATTTCAATTAGAATTTCACAAAAGTAGTAAATGATTTCATAAAGTAACGAACGAAAGCAGATTAATGATAATACCTGGGCTATACATCTTGCTAAAAGTGATCTTATCGGAGGTCCTGCACCAGACAAAATTTGCTGCGTTAGCTGTTCAATAAGCTGCTTTTGAACTGCTTTTATGTCAGACTGCAAACTCATAAATTCATTTCATTCCTGTTCATTAAATTAAATCTTACTGGATTTTTTAGCAACAATATCTATTTTTAAAACTCTCTTTTAAACTCTCTTTTAAAGAAGTAAATTAAATTTACTCGATGCAGCTACTGAATGCTTCGATTCCTCTACAAAAATAGCCAATAATATAATCTAATATAGCAAAAAATAAATGTGATCAATAAGTTAATGTATTTAACAATCTGCTATTTATAACAGCGTGCATCCTGGAAAATCTCTTCTTTTTCTTCCAAAATCTACCAAACTTTGTCAAACTTCTTCGTGATATCCGTCTCCTAAATTCTATTTTATTCTCTTTAGAACTCCCTTACAATCAAAGTGCTTTAAAAATAAGATTCACTTGTGGATGCCCTGAAAAAAGTTTGTTTCTTCCAAAGTTTGTTTCTGCCTAATTTCCCACTCTCCGTTAAATATCGTTCCCTAATTTAATTTCCTCTAATGTCCCAACAGGCCTCACTATATTGCCGTAACTTAACAGCAACATTACCAACAACACCTTTATCTTATAAACTATCATAGTCCATCAAACTGTAGCGCTCTGCCACGTCAGCCCCTAAAAATTACAAAAACTGCAGATTTAGAGAGTTGAAGATATACAAGAATGCACTGTAGCTGCAAATAAGCTGCAGCCAATAATGAAATGAAAATCGCAAAACGAAGAAAATCCCAAATTATTGTCTTCATCTTTGCTCAAGAACAATCTGCACTGATTATTATCACAGTCGATTCTATCAACGCCTATGCTTTGCTTCATTTTCATGATAGATCACAACAAAATCATGTTGCCTACTAATTAACATCCGAATTTACACGATTATGGAAGATTTTGAAGATTATAAACAAGCGATTCAATGATAGATGGACTTGAAAGGACGACTAAAGATAACTGATTGCCATCTATTATTTTCGAATTAACACGTCGAGGAAGAACCGAAAACGCAAAACCATTAACCTTATAATACGAACTTTTACAAAACCTAAAACTTGAACTTTTTTCTTTTTGTAAAGGATGTGCTCACCATTGCTGATTAGACTTCCTCCGCTGACTTATCACATTAGACAAATATGCCATGGAGTGGCTTCGCAATAGAAGTACAGATGAGGTGAGTGTCGCCAGTATCAAACGAAAAACCAACCTTTTCGGTGACCGGTAAAATTCGATCAAGATATCGAAGCCATTCATAAATAAATATTGGTCTTTTCGCATCGACGCATTGTTTTAATGCTTCTTCGTTCAATAATAACGAATTTGATTGTTCCATTAATTTATATGTTTCAAAATTTTTTATTGTTTAATTTTCCAATCTAAAAAAAATATTTTCAAAAAAAAAAATTATAAATAATAAAATTTAGAAAAAATAAAAATATTTATTTGTAAATATTTCTTTCGAATTCAAAATAAATAATAAATGAAAAAGCAAATAAAAAATTTATTCTTTTAATCGAATAAAATTATAAAAATATCAATAAATTTATCAAAATAAATAATCTTCTTTTATTATTTTTCAATATAAATTTTTAATTTATCTTATCATTTCTTCTTTAACTAATAAATTAAACAATTAATTATCCTCAATCGTTAATTTCTTACGATTCTTAATTGACAAATAAAGGAAACCACATAATGATATGAATGAAAAATAATGAAGAATTAGAAGAAACTACTAAAGATTTAGAGCAAATGCAAAATATATTAAATAAATCGGATAAATTAGAAACGAATGATAATATACGAATGTTGTAAATAGGAAATATGAAGAAACAAAAGAAATGAAGTAAATTTACAAATAAATTTGTTAAACTGATAAAATGATAAAAATGATTTCTTCGAAAAGAATTTTATAAAGTGAACATTTAAAAAGAATTTCCGGATTCTCGAACGAAAGTATTCCATTTGCTATTAGTAATAATAATAATAAATTCAACAATCAGCAATCTCTCACTGAGATAAATAAGAACTATCGATTATCATAACGATTATCACATTTTTATTATTTAATTTAATAAATAATTTTCTTTCCATTTAACAAATTTTGCATTTCTAAGAAAAAATCCTCGTTTTAATCTCGTTAGATCGAGTAAATACTCTTAAACAAATATAAACAAATTGACGCTAACAATAATTTTCTTTAAAACTTTTAAAAATTTTATTCATTTAATTAGAAATATTTTAGTAACAACAATATAAATTCTAATCAATGAATAAGATAATCTGATAAAATTAATGAATAAACGAAAAAAAAATTAGGGATGATATAAATATATTATTAAATACAATTGCTAAAATGAATATTTACCTCAAAAATAATATACATAAATAATAAAACAAAATTAATATTTCAAAAATATTATTAATAATTATTAACAATAGAAATATCATCGCATTCTACGAAGCAATTCATTTTCAAATTGTTCAGCGGTTAACGTACCAAGAATTCTCTCACAATTCGGATTAAAAACTGAATATGCACTTGGCTCATTTTCTTTTCGTTGACCCAGATTTACAAATATTAAAATGAATAGAGAGAACAAAAGAAAAACAAAACCAAATTCATGATAAATAAAAAAAATTAAACCAATTACCCATAAAACAAATAAAAATATGAGACAATTTTTCGGTGAATTCGAATAAAAATTTTGTAAAATTTTAAATGGTAATAATTTTGTTAAAAATTTAAAAAAAATTTTAATCAAATATAGAAAATTGAATAAATATTTTAAAAAAATTGATTGAGGTTCAACATTTTTTGATGTTCGATTCAAACTGTTTTTATCGATAATCGAATTATTTTCCTGAAAAATTCGTTAAAATCAACATTTCAATATCAACATACGAAAAAAAAAAAAAAATTACAGAAAAAATCAATACAAAACTACAAAAAAAAACAAAAAATCCATAGAAATTCTCAATAAAAAACTAAAATATTTCTTATCGATTGAAATAAATCGTTTACATTTCTTTTAAAATAAATTTTTTCAATAAATTTTATCTAAAAAATAAAAAAATTCAAATATTTAAATTAAACTTTTTTCTTCAAAAAAAGAAAAAAAATATGAAAATAAAACGAAATTTTTTTAAAAAAAACTTAACTTTTAATCGAAATTCATTTTCTTCTTTTTCGTTTTTTCGATGAATAGAGGAAATTTTTCGATATTCAGCAAGTCGTTCCTCAACTTTTTTCATTACTGAAATTCTATCTTTTTCTTTGATTTCTTTAAATATTTTTTTAAAAAATACCTTTTTTTTTAAAGAAAATTTCAGAAAACAAAAAAAAAAAATTTCCACAATTGAAATATAATTGAATAACGAAATTTATTACGGCAATTCGCACTAGAATGCAGCAGCTTCCGACATTCAAACAATTTTAATAGACAATTATTATTTTGCCTTTTTTAAGCGAGCGGCTTAGCGAGCGGTGACAAGGAAGTTTACGTTCGGCGAGTGGGTTTTATTAGAGCGTTACAGCGCAAGACAGAAATATTTTAAAAAGGCACGTAGAAGGAAAGGTACGTGCAGCCAAGTCGTAAGAGGAGCCACTATAGTGAATTTTAGCCTAAAATACGAGAATATTCATTAACAACACTTTAAAGATACATCCACATGTATGCAAAACCAAAATATTAAAAAATAAAATTTTGAAAAAAAAAATTTTTTTTTTATTTTGCAAAAATTTTCTTAACGATATGTGCTATTGGCATATATCGGCCACTTTCAGATTATAATAAAATTCAGCTCAAGAGTGTCGAACTTCAAGAAGAAAAGCTTTTGGTTGACTTTGGCTGGGCCTCGATTACATACTGTAATAAGTTGTTGTATGGTTTATATATTTATTTTATTATTATCGATTTAAGTGATTTAATAATTGCAAAAAGAAATAAATATGGCCAAAGCGTGAACGTTTAGAATTGCAACTCATCGGAAATCTTTTGATATTCTAGAAAACTCGTTATGTTTACTGTTAAATACGCAAAGTACCATTTTTCCCCTTTTGCCATACCAGTTTATTGTTAAATACGCAAAGTACCATTCTGCCATTTTTTTCCCTTTTGCCATACCAGTTTTCCCATTCGTCATTTCGAGAATTAATGAATGCAAATCATTTTTCAAAAGAATAACAACTGTGGAACAATAATTTGAAATATTTATAAATGCATATAATTTATTTTTGTAAATAAATTTTATAATTTTTATTTAAATTTGTGGTAAATAGGCATTAAAAAAAAACAAATAAACAAAAAACAAAACAAAAATAAAATAAAATAAAAAATCTTTAAATCATTTTAATAAATTTTTTTACATTATCAAAAACAATAAAATTATTTTATTAAATTTTTCATAAAATCGGAAATTGAAAAAAAAAAAAGATTTTTTTTTTTTCATTTCCAATCTTCGACAATAATTTTCGAAGCGAATTTTATTGCATAAAATGACGATAATTTTCATTAGATTCTATGATTTATTCATTGTTTGAACGAACAAGTCAATTAGAAAATATTCATCTAAAACCATAATGAACTGATTCCTTATTCCTTCTAAAAATTTCTAGCCATAAGCCAATAAAGGCTTTTGCTTAGGCTTAGGCCTAGGCTTAGCCTTAGCCTTATTTATATAAATATCCTTGAATACCCTTGGAAGATTAGAGCAAATTAAGGCAGATAAAATGATTAAATGCTTTGCATATATCACGATTGTAGTTCAGTTCCTCGGATTGAAGCGAATCTATGATTAAAGGAGAAATCCACATGATGCTGGCCTCTTAACTCGATCCTCATGTAATCATGTGGCATATCTTTTTTTTTAGGAGCCCTCACCAATATTGGTTAGGCTCGCTCCACTGGCTTGTAGCACTAGACAAATAGGGAGACTCTTCGTGATGGAAGTACAGGTAAGTTGCCAGTACGGATTACTCGGATTTTACTCCTATCGAGGATAGAACCTCAGCATCGGCGCTTCAAATCGAATAACAGCACCGTTCTACTCTCCTTTACTCTCTCCGTTAGGCGGTATAGTGAACCAGCGGGATACGAATCCAAGCTCCGATTCCTAATGGCAATTATCTTGCTGCTGAGCTACCGAAGCACCATATATACATATTTTTCTAAAAACGCTCTTCATTTGTGGTTAGACTTATTTCGCTGGTTTGACCAAACATTTTTCCAAGAGGTCGATAGAAGTGGGTTGCCAGTGTCACATCTATATATATTTATTAAAAAATAACCAGGCCAAGCCAGAAATATCATATGTTTGTAGCAATGCTAAGCAAAAAAACAGGTATATGGAATAAAATATTTTTTAAAAAAATCCATTGTTCTCTTTGCTGAGGACAACTAATATGCGCCCAATTTTTGTCCTTTGAGAGAAGCATCATTGGAAAAAGCTGTCGGATATTTATAACTTTCTTTTCCTGGCTAGACTTACACTATGGCTATTATGATAAGAATTATATCTATTAGAGCATTTTACCAGATAGCCACATAGAGAAAAGATACAAGTCGGTTCTTAGAGAAATACCAAGATTTTTTAGCTCAATCCTATCAATAGCCCATTGTTCGGCCATAACACTTGAAGTGATAATCCTAGCAATATAATCATATTATACTAATGTTTATACAAATATATATAAAGATTCCACGAACAACATCAGAAATCTCTATTCAGAAGAGCGTACTAATAGGAACAGTAAAGTGTTAAGATGCGCAGAATCTTCAATTTCCTAGGCCTCTGGTAGAGAATCCAAGGTTGTATCTATAGGGGGTAAAGTTTTTGCAATAAGTCACTGAAATTTAGGGGATTTCTGGTAAATCTAAGGACCTATGGAATCTAAGAAATTTTATAAACATTACTGATAAACATCTTCAACATAATAATCATAATAATAATCAAATATCATAATAATCAAAATAAATAATTTTCATAAATTATTTTTTAATAAGAAATCAAGAGAAAAGCATTTTCACTAGATAATCAAATAGACTAATCGAAAAATCTCATGAAACTTTATAAAATTCTCTAAAAAAATGCTATGAAAATGAAATTTTCACAATCTTTTTACGAATTTTTATTGTCTGATTAAAGCTTAAATGTTTAAAGCTTCCATTAAATTTTGTAATTGAATTTTAAGATTATCAAAGTTATCAACTAAATATCACTGTTGTATGTACCTATTATAACAATATAAATAGATACAACATTTTGCTTATAGATAGATTTCTTTTATAAGCTAATAAATAATTAAAAATATAAATTTTTATTCTTCTAATTTCATAAATCTTTATTATTTAAATTTAAATCTTTATTATTTATTATTTAAAATTGATTAAAAATTAATTTTTTTAAGAAATTCTTTTAAAAAAAGTATTAAATTTATCATATTTAATTTATTCTTGCTTCATTTCAGCATTATATTTCTTATTTTTATATAATTTTTATATTATCTATGATTTTTTTTCCAAATTTAAATTATTTTTAATATTCATTTTTTTAAAATTTAAAACTTTATTTATTTATTTTATTTGCTTTTTTTTTGAAAAATATTTATATTATTAAGCAATCATGATTTTATCAATTATATTAATAATAATTTAAAACTATTTAAACTTGTTAAATTTATATTTTTAAATTAATTTATTAAATTTTTAAATTAATTTTATTTTAAATTAATTAAATTTTATTTAAAATAAAAAATTGCAAATTTTAAACGAATTTTCTTTATTTATTGTGTCTGGAATGTTTATATTTTGTGAGAGCGATTTCATCGGATTAGTAAGTTTCATTACAAATTGGCTTCAACTTCATATCGTTCGTTTCATAATAGTTAATTTTTTTATGTAAAAAATATCGATTCTCTCTTATCAGTTTTTTTTTTTTTTAATTTATCTTAACCAACAATCCTTATTGAGAATTATTTATTTATGACATTTATTTAATTGTTTTGGTGATATAGCAATGATATTTGTTTTAGTAATAATGATAACAATGGCAATAATGATAATAATATTTAGTGATATATATGTAGTGATATTTGCTTGTCAATCATTTTATTTATCTAAATCAACAATTCTTAGTGCGAATTGTTTATTTATGGGAATTATTTTAATAATATGGAAATGATTTTTCTTCTGGTGATAATGCATGTGACAACAATATTTGCCTATGTTGGTGATATGAAATATATTTTTCTTAGCGAAGATCCTTGAATAATTATAAAAAAATTGATATTTATGTTGTAATTAGAAATGAAATATATCAGTAATTTCTTGATTTTCATTAAATTTAATGATTTTTTTTTTTAAATAATTTTTTTTTTTTTGACAAAATTCACCAAAAAAATCTGAGGTTGCGAGAAATTTAAGGCTTATGGTGCATAATCTATATGGTGAATTACTAGTATGGCAAACTGGCCATTAAAATCTTTTTCTTCATTTTTTTTTCAAATCACATCTATTGTTTAATTTGGCTCAACTGGCTATCGTGATGAGAATCTCTTCCCCAAAAGAAATTCTGTTGCACTTTTATTCATAGGTTTATTCTCGTCGACGAAGAAGCGATTCTATGAAGTATATATGACCTTATCAAAGGAACGCACTAACTGAATCATGCAATTCTCATCTGTCCATTAAAATTTCATTCATTCATGCGTAGATACATTTTTTTTTTCTTTTAAGGCAAACTTTAATCATAAAACGGTATCATTATCATTATCACTACAGATAATATCAATTTAAAAAATTTTATCTTTTATATTTCCTTTTTTTTTGTTAATCATTTTAAATAATTTTTGATTATGATAAAAATTTTTTTTACTCAAATATTCACTTTATATTTAATTTTGTTATTTTACTATTATTTTAAAAGTTAATAAATAGTTTACAATATGAACCTCTAAAAACTTTCAAATGCAATTTTCCACTCGAATATCTGATAGGCGTGTTTAAATCGCATTCATTCCTTTGTCTTATTACCAGTCGGCAATCTACGTTGGGCATAAAACGTTATCATTATCATTGGCCATTTTTTCAATTAATATACATTCTTATTAATTTTCTTATTTTCATTATATTCTATTTTAGAATTATCATTTAATCAACGTGAGGCGATGTCCATTCAATGCCTTCTTTTCTCGCTTGCCAAAGTGCCATTCTAATTATCATAAACGCAGTAAGAATTGGTAAGTTTTGTAAAAAAAAATTCTGAACAATATTTTTTGTTCTCTTATAAAATATCTTTTCTTGGCTATAAAAAATCTTAGAAAATATACTAAA